AGTTACAGAAAAACTAACTGGAGCTTTTCCTTTCTTGCACAAAAGCATCGTCAGCTAAACTCCAATAACAGAAGCTTTATTTCAGGCATGTGCAAGGAGTGGAAAGAGACTAATTGAATCCAATCTGATAGTTTTGCCAGTTTAAAAATTAGTGGGAATTGCCATTTCTTCTAGATGAAGGTGGGGGAGGAATAAAAGAGGCCAGATTCTAAACTGGTGCCCGAGTTGACAACTTTGTCCCATCTTACAATGAAGAAAATAGTAGTTCTAGAAGGGTGCCTCCCTAGGAATGGGACAGAATAGCATGGGGATAAGTGGTGCGAGTTATGGACAAGCATGCAACTCCTTTAAAATCAGAAGTGAACGGGAACCCCACATTATGGAGATTTTGCTAAATCCGTATTTCTGATTTTGGCAGCTACGGGCTCTCAGTTCTGCTGGCTCTGACACCAATGGTTCCTCATGGAGGCAAAACCATCCCTTCACAGAGTTCTGTATGGGATCACAGTGATTCAGACTTCCTCCTGAAGCTTGTGGTACTCAGCCAATGCCCTCTCAAGTCAACAGAAATCTTTTGTTGATTTCAAAGGATGCTGACTAGGCCCTAATTTGTCATTAGAACTTTTGAGCACAATTAAAGCCACACTGTGTACAAATGCATGGTGGATACTGTTCCTTGCATGATGCTTTTCTTCTATCACTGCTTGGTTAGTAGGACTGATGATAACACCAGTAACAGAGGCACCCATTTTGCCTGTGCTGTGAGCCTGCCAGTGGCTTCCAGGTGTTGGGTGATTTAAGAAACCACGGCCTTGCCTCAGACCCAGCTTTATAAAGATTCACAAGGAGAGAAGTTCCCTACCTTTGGCATCCCTTCACTTAATTGCACTGTCTCCTGCTTTTCTCTAGATTGTCTCACTGTTGCTCAAGCCCTAGCTGTGAACTGGGACATTTCAAAAAGCTTAGTGCTAGAAGCCACTCTTTTTGCTGAGATTGACATGATTTGTCAGAGCAGCAGAAGGGTCCGGAGGAAGAAAACTGGGGCCCAGATCACTCTGAGAGCCAAAGAAAATCTTTCGGGGCGGGGGAAGCAAGGTTGAAGAGCTCCCTGCCTACAAGCCCAGTGTCTGCAAGGTTTCACTCCAGCTCTTTTCCTCATGACTTTTACTACTTTCGGCAAGTCACCAGGCAATCACAGATCAAGATCACAAGCACAGCCCAAACTCCAGCTGGCAGTGCCTTAACCGACACTGGCAGCAGCTGATTTTCAAATCGGCAAAAAGGTATAAGAACCTCACCAACGTATTGCTGGGAGGGATGGGGCTGTGCCTGCAGCTCCAGCCAGCCATGAAGGAGCACAGCTGTGCTGCCTGCAGAGCCAAGTGAGGAGATACTCATGGCTGAGTCCTGCTTTCATGTCCAGTAGAGAGGAAACCCTGTGGCAGCTCCTGTCTCCTAACCACGAGGAAGTGTCAATGTCCTGCTTTCCTCTGTCAGCCTGTGGGATGGGGTGACAGCAAATCTATGCATACTGCCTCTTGCTGTCTCATGGCAGAGGCTGCAGGATGCTGTTTCCACCCCTGGGGACTGAGCAGGGTGCTCATTCCCATGGAATGACTGTTAATGGGTCCTGTGCTGCACTATGTTAGTCACACAGACTAAATGGTTAGTTATCTCACAGTGTGTATACATTCAGAGATGAGCCAAAAATGGACTGAATGTGTTTGCTGCATCTTTTTTAGTGAGAACTGCCTGGGTACAATAAAACATGATAGGCTGTTCCAGTTGCTCAAACTTGTATTTGTGTTTAATCAGCCCAGGTGTCCAGCTGTCTGCTAAAGGAAATCCTTCTGGAAGCCACGGAGATGGGCTTTTCTTTATGAAATCTCATTACTATGATAGGTGGTAGCAGTGTCTGTTATGCAGGTTGGCATTATATCCAGTTTCTTCTAACGCTGCCTGACTTTAACTGGCTGGGCTGACATCTTCTGTGAGAGGTCTTGCCTCGGGCTGATAGATTCCTCAGCCTTTTGCATTATATGCTATTCAAACCTGGTTACTCTGGTCCTATTAATTTCCTTTTAGGTTCTTCTATAATACTATTATAACACTGAAGTGCTTACAGCAACTCCTGCATTTATTATCACCAGCTCACCACCTGATGGGAGGAGGCAGCCATTCCTGAGCCTCTTTGAGCTGCCTGGAGTCTGCCTACCCAGGGACCAGCACACAGAGCACAGCACGCAGAGGTTCAGAGCAGTGAGTTCAGAGATCTCACTGATCTCTGTCCCTGCAGAGATCAGCACCCCTTGGATTTCAAGATGGGTACTGGGCAGTGAGAGCACATAGAGCCAGTGAATACCTGCAAATGCCTGTTGAAGTGTGTCCGCGATATCCCACAGATACACAGCACCGTAGGCAGGAAGAGAGTCCAGTTCTCTGTGACAGAACTCTGCTGTCTTGCCAGTGAGACCAGTCTTTCAGCCTCCATGTCAACTACTACACACTTTACAGCTTATTCAACAAAAGCAGTATACGTCAGCTGTCAACAGCTGTCCTTATGTTTTGCTGTTCAGCCCCTCCACTGTGCACTGAGGCAGGGCTCCAGGGGCTAAAAGAGCAGGCAACTTGGACACTCAAGGGGCCCAAAATTAGATTGCACAAGGCAACCAGTACTCTGGCTCTCCTCCATTGCGTTCCTGCTTGTGGAGGGTTTGCTTTCACAATCTTTAGCATTGTTCTTGTAACATCTTTTTGCTGGGGGTGTGGGGCGGTGGCAGTGGTGGTTAGAAAGATGTCTAACAGAAGCTGACCATCTTTTGTAAAGACTTCTCAGTGGCAGCTTGTGAGATGCCAAGGCAAAGCCCCAGAGACGTGTACCAGTGTCCTTGGGAGGCCTGCACCTCCTTGGGAAACTAGGGTGGTGGAAATCTCACCAGGAAGCTGTGCTTTGTGCGAAACTCCAGCTGAGGTCAGGCTGCCAGACCCTAGGCCCCTGGGAGAGGTGCTCATATCTTAGTGCTGCTTCCCTGGAATGTATGCTGGAGCTAGTGTCCCCTCCTGCATGGAAATCAGGTGTAGGGATGTGGGGACCATTAATCTCTTCTGACTGAGAAGGTGAGGCACAGCCAGGATGGGCACCTAAATTCAGGCGCCAAAAAGACCGCTGATAACGCCAAGACAACACAGATGTAGCTTCCGGTACCAGAGATTACATGCCCAGTAATTTATCCATTACATGCCCACTATTTATCCATCCTGGCATCAGGCAGCACTGGTTTTAGTATTTAAAACAGTGTTTCAAGTCTAAATTCTTCCTGCAGCCATGAAATACCACAAATGGAGGCTGCCAGCTGACATGCAATTTCTTCCTCCATCTCCCATTTGTACCATGATTTGTCCTACTTTATCAAGCCTAGCACCTTTGCCTTCCACTCAGAAATGCCTGTCGGGATTTTACGTTTATAAAAAGGCATCATAGTGGATCTCACAGTTTATTAGAGCTTGTGGTGCTCTTTATCCTATGTGCCCATCTTCACTGCTGCACTGAGCAAAATGGGCAATTCTCCTTCTGCAAGGCAGCTATTCAGATCCCAAACAGGGTTGATTTTTTTTCCCCCCTGAGTTGCAGTTATTAGAAGCTCTGTCTTTTAAAGGCATGTTGTTGTGCTGGATCAGAAATACGGATGCATGGGCTCTGAAGGTTGAGCCCTGTGTTTTGCTAACGCTTTGGAAGACAATGCCATCTGTGACATGATTCAGATCAGTGGTTTAGTGAAATTCTGTTGGCAGGGAGTTATTCACCAGATTAATGTTTCAGAAGTTCTCATGCTTCCAAAACGATGCTTCGCCTTCCCTCTCCCTCTGCTATTCTCTTTCACGTCTCCACAGGTAAACCCTGTCAGATGTCACAGGGGCCTCATTAGCATGTCTGGATGAGGCAGGAAATACAATCTTTGCTGGCATGATGCACAGCTTGAGAGGGTGCACAGAGGTTCTGCTGCTCTGACGCTCTGAGCAGCTCATTGAGGTGCCTCCAAAGACTGTGCCACAGTCACACAGCAAGAGTCCTCCCCCCCCATATCCCTTCCCCATGGCATCCCAAGCCAGCAGGGATCCCCAGAGCATATGCAGAACACAGTGTGGAAAGAAAACTTGATTCTTCAATGAGGAACAAGTTTTGTCCATCTGAAGACCACCATGGCAAATTGTCACGTGCCTCTGGGATGTGCGTCATTTGAGGCATTGAAAATGTCTTTGATTTAAATACCATGTCAGTACTACAGCTCCCTACCCCCATCAGATTTTTCTGGTTTACAAGCAGTCAAAGTAATCGTGATATACTCACTTGCAGAGTTCCCCTTCGGGCAGGAAGCCCCATTGCTTCAGGTGCTGCTCGGACACCTACAGAGCTCACAGCCCTATGAAACACCTCACAAATGTATACCAGACGATTTAGACATGGGAAAAAAAATTCTGCAGTACTGTTGTATGCACCTCTCCCCAGCTATTTTCTGAAATGCACTTTTCCATAAAATAGCCCTTGTGGTGGTAATTTTCTTCAGCATGCAAAGGTGCCTCCTTACAAAGCACCAGCAACATCAGACACTCCAGAGCTGCTACAGCATCTTAAGGATGGGGGCTGTTTTGAATACATCAAACCTTCTCTGGGTAAAACGATCTCCACATAGCATTATTTGTAACTGAGAAGGAGAGGTTAGAATAAATGAATTCTCATCACCATTGCAGATATTCATAAGCTGCCCACTGCCACAGTAATTGAGCGCAACAATTAAGCAGTAACAGCAGTTGTTTCTGAAGTATTTTGAACATCATAAAAATAGTTTAATGGTTAAAAGCCAGAGTGCTGGGAGCCATCACTGTGACAGCTCTGTAGATGAGAACTGCATCCCAGCAGCTAGATGCAGTAAATTTACACACAGTAAATCTGAATCACTTTGGAAAAATAGTTAGGTAAAACAGAACATTTTCATACCTTTTCGTTTCTGGTTTGCTGTTGATTGGACAGTGTGTCTGATCATTTTGTGCAGCAGAGTGACAAATAACTGAAAAAATTATTTCCTTGAAATGGTTTGGAAATATAGTTCTTCTTGCCATATATTTCATCTGGGAGGCAATTTTTTCCTGCCCTTCTCCACATCAGCCTGGCATTTCTGTTAGAAAGAAGTGGTAATACAGAGAGACATCGGCATCATTCAGTGAATGAAAATACTGAAACAGTAAACAGTTTCTAAAAATAAAAGTATAGTGAATATGTCTTTAGGTCTCTAAGGCATTATACGGTGACTAATCAGAGCAGTCTTCCTACGAAAAAGGGACAGAAGCAATAGAGATGGAATCAAATTTAATAGTACAAAACGCGAGGTCGTGCCCCGAGGGAGTAATAATGAGAATTTCTGCTACCAGCTGGGAGCTCATCAGTTGGAAGTGACAGAGGAGGAGAAAGACCTGAGCACACCAGCTGATCAAACGTCTGTAAGCTGGCAATAGCATCTAGATGTGAGAAAGACAAATGCAAACCCAAGACATGTCAGATGAGGGATTTCTAATAGAACTAGCAAGATTTTAATGCCATCACAAGAAGTACAGAATATTGTATGTCCATATAAAAGATGAATTAATTTAAAATTGCCTTTTTTTTTTTTTTTGGTGCCTTTCTCTCTTAGCATGACTGGGGAAGAGAGAGTTTTCTTCTACAAGAAGAGACTAAATGAGCTTGGTTTCTTGAGTCTAGCAAAATGCAGTCTGGGAAGAGATATATTTGTTGCTTACAAATACCCTGGAGGGAAGTACCAGGAAGAGAGAAGAGCTGTTTGAGTGAAAGGGCAATGCTGGCACAAGAACAAGTGCCTATACATTTGCCAGGAATGCATTTCAGCTGGAAATTAGAAGAAGGACCTGACTGTCCGAGAAGTGCATTTCTGGGACTGACTTCCAAGAGATTTTATTGGGACAAAAATCCCAACTTGTTTTAACACAGGAGTTGAGGCAGTTCTTTACCACAGCTACCCTAAACAGCAGGGGATTGGACAATATGGTACAGAAGGTCCCTTTTGGTTCTATTTTCCACTGTCCTCATGTGCCCACCTTGTTCAACAACCTAGGCCTGGTACTGTCCCCTGAAGAGTATTGGACCCATTTTGTTGAAGAAATTGGTGAGGACAATCCCAAGCCTGTTTCTAATGGATGGGTGCCACGTGAGGCAGACCATCCACCACATCTGTGGGAGGTGGGCCAAAAGCTCTAAACTGCCTGTTGCACTGAGATCAGCTCTGCTCCTGCCCGGGGAGGAGGGGGAGCACACATTATCCAGCTGTCACTGTCAATGCACAGAAAGACTTTGTGCCTGCAGTGCTAGGTGCTGCACAAGCACATCATAAATGATTCCCTGTGTTAAAGAGATAGAAATGAAACTTGGAACAAAGGCTGGAAAACTGATTTGCAAGTGCCAGGTAGATGATGAGCAGAATCTCAGGGCAGCTCTCTTGCTAACTGCCCAGCACTTCATGCATCACTCACTCTTGTAAGGTCATCTGAAACCTGAAGAAGCCCAACCCAGAAGCAAAAATTAGGATGAGCAGGTATGGAGGACAATCAGGCAGTAGGGGCTGGGTGAGGTTAGGCATATGGCATTGAAATCCTTACTTGAGGCAACTTAAATGGAACCACTGGTATAACTGACAGCTGGGAACCTCAGCCTTGGCCTGGTGGAGGTTTGTTAGATGGCTCTTAAGATTAGTAAGGTGGCTCTGACCACCCCTGAGGTATAAGGAAGTTTGATCCTTGGCAGATGGTCTGGATGCAAAGCATTAGATAAGGACACCTTTTAAGTACATTTCTTTGCTTTCAGACATAGTAAAGCAGAACTGACCTTTGTTTTCTTTAACCTTCTTCTCCCTGGCATAATCATGTCCATCAGGTTGCAGTGCCGTTAGGGTGGTTGTTCTCTTCATGTAGCACTGTAACTTTATGCAGCAATTTGTCCTTGTAGATAAAACATCTCTGCTGTCCCAGGCGGCCTGCAAGCTAAAACAGGGATGGCATGCAAATTCAACTGAACTTCAGGAGTTCAAGCATGGAAGAGTCTGGAGGAGAAGGAAGAAGGGGGAGTACTTTAGGAGGAAAGTTTTGCAGAGGACTCACAAGGAAGAGGGATAATGCACACACAGATGAGAGGAGCGAAGGCTGTGCAGGAGCAGGAAATGCAGCACAAGAGTGTGAGAGTGGGAGCAAGGGATGCAAGGAGGGATGTGGAGAAATGCAGAGGTAGGAGGTTGGAGGAGAAAGTTAGAGAGCTAACAACACTGTGTGTGCACTGCAGGGCTCTGAAATGAGAAGGAATCCAAGGGCACTGTAGATAACACAGTGTAGCTGCTACATCCCACACCAGAACCTCCCCTTCATTGCTGGGCAAACGATCATATGTACACACAGACCTACAAAGCATTTGGAGATGCTTCGAGGTGAAAGGCACCTATAAAAGGACTTATTATTGTTGGCATTAAGTATCTGTGGAAGTTTTCACTTGGAAATGCACTTGAATTTTATCTCTTTGAATCACAGTTGTTATTCAACTGCAAATCTGCACAGGAGTTTCTTAAGTGCGTATCTTTGTATTTAATTTGGCCAGTTGGTTTGAGTTTGCAGCAGCAGAGTCCCTCCCGGGTCTTTGAACAGTACATACATAAAGACCTTACTCTCAGCACAGCAACTGAATGTATATGTTTAGTTCAGTTTTATATTTTGAGCACTGAGTAAACACTCAACAAATGCTGTCTTCAAAAACTGGCTGCATACCCACACCAGTCAAACTTTCCATGGAGTCAAAACCTCAGAAATCCCTTACAAAGAAGAAAACATTGGCCTGGTCTCCTATGAGGAGAGGCTGAGGGAGCTAGGATTGTTTAGCCTGGAGAAGAGGAAGCTCAGGGGAGACCTCATCACTCTCTATAACCTGACAGGAGCTTGTAGCCAGGTGGGGGTCAGTCTCTTCTCCCAGGCAACCAACAGTAGGACCAGACAGCATGGTCTTAAGCTATGCCAGGGGAGGTTTAGGTTGGATATTGGGAAGAAATTTTTTACAGAGAGAGTGATCAGACATTAGAATGGGCTGCCCAGGGAGGTGGTGGATTCACTGTCCCTGGAGGTGTTTGAGACTGGATGTGGCATCAGTGCCATGGTCTGGTAACCACAGTGGGGTTGGATCAAGGGTTGGACTTGATGATCTTGGAGGTCTTTTCCTACCTGGCTGATTCTATGATTCATTTAAGGAGAGGAGGGAAGAAAGAAAGTGCATTCATCAAGTTTTGTCTAGGCTAATGATACTGGCCTGAAATTCAACGTTCTACTTTTGTCAGATTTTATACCCTTGCTAACCAGATACATCTTACTCCAAAGCCCTACAGAGAAGCAAACTTGGAATTCTAAAAGAAATTATTCTCTTACTCCATCTTTTCAGGTACAAAGGCATTCTCCTGCTCTGAGCTCTCAGTGCCTCTGAGGAACCAGAGACTCTGGGGAACCCAGTCTGTGAAACAAAGAGGGATGGGGCAGCCCTTCTTCTCCACAAGGCCTCGGGTATTGCAAAGCAGCTCTCTTCCTCCTTCTCCTCCCATGAGAAGGGAATTCATCAGAAAAGCTGTGCCACCCTTCAGCAGGACAGGTGATGAAGAGAGAGAGGCAGGCAGAGCGTGCTGAGGGAAGCACGTCCAGGACATGGATGCAGGAGCAGAGTGGGAGCCATAGGACAGCAGTGCAAACAGGTATCCACTTCGCTTCTTCCACCTAATGAGCTCAAAAATCCCTTAAGTACCCAGGGACAGCCTGGTGAGCTCAGCAGGAGTTTTTGCTGCCCCGCCTCTCTCCTGCTCTTGTGAGTCCAGGCTGGTTGGGAGACAAAGTTACCTTTGGGCTGGGGATAGGAGGAGGGGACTGCACCAATGCCTTGGTGTTGACGCTCTTCACTGGAGGGTCCATTGTGCCCTTGGAGAAGCCCCAGCTCTGCATGGAAGGCAAGTGTTTGCTGTAAAGGGGCTGTGTCAGGGCACAGAGCAGGGCTCCGTTTCCAGGCAGGCTATATTTGAATGATGCAGCGCAGAGCAGATGTCCAAGAGACAGCCAAGAGGTGGGACCCAGGCAAGGCACAGAGAATGAGTCACCCACAGCTGAAGCCAAGCAGGGGCTGAACATTGAAACAAATCGTGTAAGGGTAGAACAGGGCCAGAACTGAGTGGGAGAGACAAGTCTGCCTAGCAGGGAAAGAACCAGAGAGAGAAGGAGGCTGAACAAAACCAGGAAACTGCAGAAGAGCAGGATGTAACAATGACCAGCCTTCACCAGACTGGTGGGCATCCAGCTTGGTACACTGTCTGCAGCAGCGTCCAGGAGCAGATGTCTGAGGAAAAAGTGCAGAAAGGCCAGACCAGGCATAAAGTGTGACTTTCCTCAGAGGACCTTCCCAGCCTCTGGCACTCCTTGAGCCTGGGGCTGCGCCTGCAAATTTCATAGCCTTCAGGGACCTTTTCTCCTCTGAACTCAATTGCTTTGCAAACCCCTCTGTGCTTTTGGCCTCCATCCGAACTGGCAGGAATGAACTCCATAGACTTGAGGGCGCACAGGGGAAAGCACAGGAGAGAGAGGGATGGAGGAAAACTGCTGGGAAGTGAGGGAGGATGGAGAAGATCCTTCTGGGAAAGGGCTCATTGCATCAGGCAGTCCAGCCATCTGCATAACCCTCCTAAAACGGCGAATCGAGGTCACATCACTGTGGTGCACTCCTAAGCTCTCATGTCAGCCCCTTGGAGGGTCCAAGACATCAGCAGCGCATTTGAGTAGACTGCCCCAAGCGTAATACTGTCAAAAGGGAAACTGTTACTGAGGAAGAAAATGCCAAAACCAATGACTTTCAGCACCAAGAAGTTTGTTTCTCATCCTGAGGAGCCTGCAGTCCCCACAAGGCCAGTTCCTCTCCAGGACACGAGCTCCAGGCGTTTGGACACCCTGCACTGGAGCTCCTTTCTGTTCACCTCTGTGCTAATCTGTGTTGGAGAGACATGAGCTTGCTCTGGGCACAGCAAGAAGAGAGGACAAAGGCTTTTTTCCCTCAAATGGTAGAGCACTTCTTTTTTCCTCCAGGAAAGGGGCAGCAAACGAAGGTATTCTGCAGTTTGAAAGAGAGGAGGGGGCAGGATTTGAGTTACAAAAGAAACCGGCACATTTCAGCAAGGGAAGCTGCAAGGTACAAGGCCACTGTGTAAAAGAAAAAAAAAAAAAAAAAAAAAGGCATTCAAAGCCTTTCCAGCATCCATCAAAGCGATAACGTTATTGCATGGTACGTTTATAGTTCCCTTGCAGCTGCGGCAGCAGCTTTTCAGTGGGGCTGGGCTTAAAATGATACCAGAGCCAGTTCTCTGCTGCTCCAGCACCAGCAGACAGACCTTTTTCCCCCTCCCCACGCACAGACATTTCCCAGCCTCTAGCAGTGACTCCAAAATTCATTTCACCCTTTAATTGGATTTCATGGAGGAGAGTGAGGCACAGAGCGGGACTGGCCAGGGCTGGAGGGGTCCCTGGTGCCTGCCAGGACAGCCACAGCACAGAGGAGGAGGAAGAGGTTTGGGACAGGGTTGCTGTGGCAGGGTGCTGCCTCGTGCACCCACCAACCTACCCACACACAGTCCATGGGCTTGGTGCTCCCCTGGCCAAGAGAGCAGCAAATGCCCTGTTTCTGGTGTCAATTTTCAGCAAGGGCAAGTCACTTCCATTTCATCGCACTCAAAAACGTCTGGGCTTAACTAGGTCACATTTCCTAACCGTATCAGAGGCAAGGACTTGTCTTGCTTGAGTGATTTAACTAACCACCCTAGAAGAATTTTACGAAGCAGTGCCATGAGTGTCTGTGATGAGAGATGACTCCCCCTGCCTTGCTCTGGAGGAGTGAAAAAGATCTGCCCAAATGCTGTTTACAGTCCCACTGCTTTAAGATCCTAGGTGAGAACCTTTCCAGCAGTACAAATATATGAATCTCCAAGACAATCTATTTCCAACTTGCATATTTTGTCCATTCATTGCCAAAGCACAATCTGTGTACGCTGTGTTTATCTTGAACCAAGGAATGAAAGTCATGGCGTAAGAGATGCTGCCACCCTGGTACAGGTAGAAGACTGATGATGACTTTGTGATTCACCTGCATGTACAGCCCTACCCTGAATTATGCTGGACCCTTGGCATGCACTGGCTCATCCCCCAGGCTGATGCTACACAGCTGAAAAGAACCCTTCCTTTTGCCCACATTAGCCATTTTGTCCATCAGTGTCAGTGGATGTCTCTTTGATTGTGGCTCATTTAGGGAGATAAAATGATTTGTCTTTGTTTTTCAAACACCTCACCTCAAACCTCCTGATACAGGTGGGAGCAAGACAGTCACTATTTTCAGTGTCTCTGCATCTCTCATTTTCTTTGCTCCTTTTTGCCCCACGTTCTTCCTCTACATTACTCGTGCATCAAGAGGATGTCTCCACCCCGTAATTCACCTGCTCTGCTTAGATGGCAGAGAGGTGGTATTTCCAGCACGGTGGTGCTTTGTTTTTTTTTTTATCCTGTTCTTTACATAGCTAGCCATTTTGTTCCCTTTGGAGACGGCTGCTGCAGTCTGAGCAGATGTTCCCAGTGAACTGTGTGTGGCGACACCCAGCCTCCCCCCGCAACTGCGGTCAACTGAGGACCCAGCGAGGCGGCGGTGGCACGGACACAGCCTTCTCCACCATGTTTGTCAACAGCCAGGTTCACCTGCCCCTCACCTTGGGTAAGTCCCACTGCGTGCCTGCATGCTCTTTTCTATCCTAAATTATTTCATGCTATCTGCAAAACTTGCTGCTTCACTGCTTCCCCCACTTTTCCAAGTCATTAATAAATATTAAGCACCAGCAGTGTGCTCACAGCTCACTGCCCAGCCTGTTCCCTCCAGACCTGGAGGGAGAGAGCATCCGGTGCCTCCCTTGGCACCAGTGAGACTTCCAGCATCACCT